GATTTTAATATTTCATTTTATTTGTTATCTCAGTCGATGTTATAATATGGTTTTATGTGATTTTGAGAAAACGATGATTTTTTTATTTTTGAATAAAAAATATGTTTGAAGATATCATAAAAATTATATATCGATATTAGTATCAAATTAACTATTTGAAATTCCTCATTTTTTATGCATGGATTAAAAAAATTTATATTTATATTAAAATTTAAATTTATAATTATAATTATATCGTGAATTTGCTATAATAATTTTAGTTTATATACGTAATAAAAAATAATAAACGAATAAAATTGTATAATTATATCGTGAATTTGTTTTTACAAGAAGGGTTTTTTTATCTGATAAGATATGATATTGTTTAACTACACTTTTGATTGACCAAGGTGTTGGCCAAGTTAACCACCATAATTACTTATCGAGTCAGGGTTTGTTTGTTAGCAACTTAACGAGTTTATAGACTCATGTCTTATTCAATCATCTATATATGATTGTTTGATAGTAGCTTAATAATAAAGTGACTTATTCAGTAACTTTTTGGAGGAAACTTTATGCAGAAAATTAAGTTTTTCCTAAACTCGTCCCTCCTAATTAAAAAACACGTTTCTTCCGTTCATTAAAAATCTCTTTCAAACAAAATTATTTTCAATTTATACATATATATTAATCAATACATATGACTTATATATGGAAACCAACCAAACAACCTCTTTGACGTTACTTAAACAATTTATTTTCATCCATAAATATTTGCTACAAAATGTTTGGTAAAGCAGCAATTTTTTTGAATTACATAATATTTATATACGACAAATACAACAAATAAACTTATATATATCTTTATCACATTTGATGAGGTTTGAACCTCTCACCTCCTAAGAGGCTAAAGACTACAATACTACTAGACCAAAGACACTTTAGTCAACCCTTTTACATGGACTATTCTTGTATTCGTTCAACGAATTAATATAAATTATTATTTTTTATGTTAGGATAAATAATTTAAAGGACAAGA